CAAATTCTCTCTTTCAGAATTCTCTTATACTTAATTCAAGGCATTTCACGAAACAACATATTTGAATTTAAATTACTGCATTTATCGCACTTTGATATCGATGTTGCTTGGCCCGATAACATATCGGATGCCCTAGTTGCTTTGTGCTTTGTTCTGCTTACGTTATGCTAATTTGCCTACAGTTTTCTAGTATTTTTTTCAGCATTTTTTAGCGTATTGACCTATCCGACAATGGTCACACGCAGGCGCCATGCAGAAGTGAGATATGTGAAATCAAAAGACTACGAAACAAGACAAAACTGCAAGATTTAACGGCTAACATAAATACAATTTACATAGATTATTTACTAATTCTCTCTCTTTTTTTCTTCTCTTTTCAGGTAATCGCTGGAATCCATGAGGGTCCAATTGGGATGGGGCATCGGGCTGCAGTTCTCATCTGCTGATCGTCGTCAAGTGTAGTGTTGGAGAGGGGGGAAGAACAGCCAGTCCAGCTGTCTGACCCCCTCCCGTCTGTGGCGCCGACCAGTTGTTGCAGTGGGCATGGGTGAGTACAGCATATGCATTAGCTTGCATACGCATAACTATTCTCACAATTATACATATCAAGAATCAAGTATGTACATTTGTGTGAATTGCAGTGAAGAAGAAATAGAAATATTTCATTAGTGGTGCAATAATAAGTTTTTATATTGTTATTAATTAGATGATTTTTTAATTTTTCTCACTGCAGGTAAGCTTATTAACACTCTAGGGGCAGATAGAAGCGTCGTCAATCATCATCGTCGAATTTTATGCCGTTTTGCAGGTAAGTGTATATTTTAAATTTTTGCTAGTTCTAATATTGTTATTAATTAGATGATTTTTTTAATTTTTCTCATTGCAGGTAAGTTTATTAACATCTCTAGGGGCAGATAGGAACGCCATTGATCATCCTCGTCGAGTTTTTTGGCCGTTTTGCAGGTAAGTGTATATTTTAAATTTTTGCTAGTTTTTATATTGTTATTAATTAGATGATTTCTTTTTAATTTTTCTCATTGCAGGTAAGCTTATTAACATCTCTAGGGCCAGATAGAAGCGTCGTCAATCATCCTCGTCGAATTTTTGGCCGTTTTGCAGGTAAGTGTATATTTTAAATTTTTGCTAGTGTTTTATATTGTTATTAATTAGATGATTTTTTTAATTTTTCTCATTGCAGGTAAGCTTATTAACATCTCTAGGGGCAGATAGAAGCGTCGTCAATCATCCTCGTCGAATTTTTGGCCGTTATGAAGGTAAGTGTATATTTTAAATTTTTGCTAGTTTTTATATTGTTATTAATTATATTATTTTTGTTTGTTTGCTGTTGTAGCTTTGGTTGCTGCTGTTGTTGTTGCCGCTGCTCAGTCTGTGGTCGATCTTGGCGCTGTTGTTGGTGTTGCTATTGTTGTTGTTGCTTTTGCTGCAGCTCGTTTGTCGGTAAGTACCTTACAGCTAGTAGCCTATTTCGAGCCTCTTTGTATTTAGGGCAGCCTTTATAGCAGCATACATGTGCACCTCCACAGTTGAAGCACTCTGCGGGTGCATCTCGTGCTTTGGTGCACTCAGTGGATGCATGAGAGCCGGCACATTTCATGCATCAGTATGGGCGTCGACAGTAGTTCTTAGTGTGCCCGAACGCCTAACATCGATGGCACTGGGACGGATCGATGGCCTTCGCCTGCCTCTCAACTAGCACCTGTTGATTGCTGATCGTATCGAGTTCACATATCTTGAGATGGCTGCCATCGGGCATTGGCTGCAGCTCAACCTCAAAGACGTTTAGTGGCATGCCGGTGAACCGATGCCTCATGGCACGTATGAAACGTACCGCGAAGCCCAGCTCCGACAGCTTGACTCTCAGCCAGTCACAGGGTGTCGAGTGGTGTAGTTTTTTGATTACCACTCGATATCCATTCTGATGGTGTGTGTGGGTGTACATCTGTACGTTCTCAACAGTCAGGAAATCTACAATGGCTCTGTGTGTGGCCATATCATCGCTGTAGATAGTGACGCCAGCACAACAACAATACAACTGACTGACATAGTGACGAAAAGAACTGAGTGACTGAGCCACTGAACAACAATACAACTGACTGACATAGTGACGAAATGAAAGAGTGACAGAGCCACTGAAAACCAGGACGACTGACTGACAGAGCGACGAAATGACAGAGCGACGAAATGACAGAGTGACGGAGCCACTGAACAACATGATGACTGACTGACAGAGCGAAGAAATGACCGAGTGACAGATTGACAGAGTGACAGAGTCACTGAACAACAGGACGACTGACTGACAGAGCGACGAAATGACAGAGTGACGGAGCCACTGAACAACAGGATGACTGACTGACAGAGCGACGAAATGACCGAGTGACAGATTGACAGAGTGACAGAGTCACTGAACAACAGGACGACTGACTGACAGAGCGACGAAATGACAGAGGGACTGAGCCACTGAACAACAGGACGTCTGGCTGACATAGTGACTAAATGACAGAGTGACTGAGCCACTGAACAACAATACAGCTGACTGACAGAGCGACAAAATGACAGAGTGACAGAGCCACTGAACAACAGGACGACCGACTGACAGAGCGACGAAAGGACAGAGTGACTGAGCCACTGAAAAACAATAAAACTGACTAAAAGAGCGACGAAATGACAGAGTGACAGAGCCACTAAACAACAGGACGACTGACTGACAGAGCGAAAAAATGACTGAGTGACAGAGCCACTAAGCAACAATACAACTGACTGACAGAGCCACTGAACAACAATACAACTGACTGACATAGTGACGAAATGAGAGAGTGACTGAACAACAGGACGACTGACTGACAGAGCGACGAAATGACAGAGTGACAGAGCCACTGAAGAACAGTACAACTGACTAAAAGAGCGACGAAATGACAGAGTGACAGAGCCACTGTACAACAGGACGACTGATTGACAGTGCGACAAAATGACAAAATGACAGAGTCACTGAACAACAGTACAACTGACTGACAGAGCGATGAAATGACAGAGCCACTGTACAACAGGACGACTGACTGACAGAGCGACGAAATGACAGAGTGACTGAGCAGCAGGGCAGCAGCTGCAGCATTTCTTCAATCGTCCAGGCACGGTGGGGATCAGCAGATCATGCAGTCCAGTGTTCTCGTGTTCTCCTCCGGCACACATGAGCGCAATTATATATAGTTTAAGTATTAGCTATTGCACAGAGTGCTTTACGCGGCGCGCGCACACCGGCAGCGAGGCGGACAGAACGGCAAGTCTGCGCACTCGAACAGTCAGCAGTGGAGTATGCGCCAGCCAATTGCCTGCCGTGAAGCGGCAGTTACAAATTCTCTCTTTCAGAATTCTCTTATACTTAATTCAAGGCATTTCACGAAACAACATATTTGAATTTAAATTACTGCATTTATCGCACTTTGATATCGAAGTTAAGACTTTCGACAATCTAAGGAGCCAGGAGAGTTCCGTCAGACATTCAAGGGGAGAACCTCACCAGTTGAACAGATTTAGTTCAGTTTATATTCGGACCAGACACAGTTCAGACCTATTGTTCCAAATTATATCAAATATATTATTTCATCGAACACCAAGTTGTTATATATTCACAAGAACCCAACACAGCGTCCCCAATCACTAGTACTCTAGTGCGGGTGCGCTTAACTGGCGCCCGAGCAGGGACCCACATTCTTCACAAAAGGAAAATGTCGTGTCAATAACAAAATATAATGACGTGTCAATAACAAAATATAACAATAACTTATAAAAAAGCAAGTACAAATAAATTGTTTCAAATCTAAAAGCTGGATTGGACAATTCTTGGCAAAATTAAGTGGTACTTCTGTGATTTGCAAAGTAATGGGTGAAACACCATGCCATAACATTAAAATACAATAAATAACATAATTTCTAGCAAGAGCTAGACAATTTTATAACATAAAAGAAATCGTAGCAAAATCCTTGTAGAGACGATCCTTAAAACGAAATACAAGAAATTTGCAGGCTAAATGGTGGTACAGATTGATTCTCGTATCGAGGTTCAAATCCTTGCCGTAAGACAAATATGATAAAAAAATAAACGTCACAATTTTGCAGGCTAAATGGTGCTACAGATTGATTCTTGTATCCAGGTTCAAATCCTTGCCGTAAGACAAATATGATAAAAAAATAAACGTCACAATTTCCACCTGTGTTGAATGATGGGTTTCCGTATAAATTAAAAGGAGTTAAGTTTAAAGCACTGACAATATAACAAAATTAAAAGGCGGCCTGTCTCAACAAACAAAGCATAAATATGCAAATATACAAATATGAATTATTTAACAACAAACAAAGCATAAATATGCAAATATACAAATATGAATTATTTAAATAAATAAATGCAAATGCAATAAATGCAAGAGAGAAACCAGAAAATGAGACAGTGCCATATAAAGATACTTAGAAATTGATAATTCAAATAATTTGACAACAGACAAAACAATAACACACGTAATAATACAATTGGTAATTCGATGAAATAATATATTAAAGAAATATATTCACAAAATATAAATATTCACATCAACAATTTAAAAATGTGTTAAAAAAATGTGTTAAAAAAATTGTGTTTACAAGACTGTTAGAGCATTACTAACGTTTTATCTCCACAGCAAGGAATTCCGCAAGACGATTAATATCATTTTCTTATCTCAATTGGAAACGGTAAATAGCAGTAACTTGGAAACAATGAAAAAACTGATTTAATGTAGAAAAATTAAATCGAAAAATTAAATTGATAACATAGTAGGCCTTGCATCGAGTCGAATAGTAAGTAAGTTTTCCGACATTAAAATTATTTAGTTCACTTGTGCACCGAGCTCAAGCTGTAAGTAAAAAATTTTTTGAAAAATTTACGAAAAAATAAAAAAAAACCTAAAAAGAAATCTTACTAAAAAAGGTAATAATAATAATAATAATAAAAATTATATAAATAAATAGAATAAAAAATACCAGGTAACGGGTGAGTAAGTCATAAAAAAATGCTCTTGTTTAAAATAACATTTACAGTGAGATTAATTTGCTAATAAATAATTTAAATTCGTAGGCAGTATGGAAAATATAAATGAAACATTGCAAGGGTTAAGCGCGGCAATAACGGTGTTAGCCGATCAATTTTCAAGTCTAAAAGGAGAATTGAAGCAATTGAATAATAAAGTGGATAAATTGGAAAATAAGGATACTAATAAGTCTTTATTAATAGAAGAACAACAAATCTCACTGGAACAACAAATCTCACCGTCCACGTTCGGAGCTTGAATTAAATGAAATTTCGTCATTGCCGGACTGTGGCCTTAAACAAGCGAACAATGAGTCGTAGTATTGTCCGCATTAATAGAATCATATAGAGATAGAGCTTTAGATGTTTTCATAAGGGGACTAAACGGGACTATGTCTCGTGGAATTAATGATTATCAACAAAACAAAAACTGGAAAAATTCTTCATAAATCAGATTTAAGAAAATAGGAAAAAAAGGAAAATGCACATTTAATTATATTGTAATAATCTTCTTTTAGCTTCCTTAACTTCCTTAACACCCATAGCATCCACAGCATTTTACACGTGGTATATCCCTCCTAGTTTCGATCATTCATGGTAATAGGGATTTCCGAGATGCCAGACGGAATGAAATAAATGCGCTTACAATGTTGGATGTATTGTCATAACCACAAGTGAATACTAAATGTATGGAACTATGAATGCTTTGAATTAACTTGAAGGTGGATATCGATGGCCCTCTTTATGCTAATTTATGGACTCTGGATAATAAATTTATATTGGATAATTATCATTATATTGGACAATTTATATTGGATGGATATCGTATTGGATAAATCATTATATTGGGCAATTTATATTGGATAATTATCATTATATTGGACAATTTATATTGGATGAATATCGTTACAATGGACATATGCACCCTGATCTGCGGGACGCAGATATTTAGATGGGGAAGAGTTAAGACTTTCGACAATCTAAGGAGCCAGGAGAGTTCCGTCAGACATTCAAGGGGAGAACCTCACCAGTTGAACAGATTTAGTTCAGTTTATATTCGGACCAGACACAGTTCAGACCTATTGTTCCAAATTATATCAAATATATTATTTCATCGAACACCAAGTTGTTATATATTCACAAGAACCCAACACAGCGTCCCCAATCACTAGTACTCTAGTGCGGGTGCGCTTAACTTCGATGTTGCTTGGCCCGATAACATATCGGATGCCCTAGTTGCTTTGTGTTTTGTTCTGCTTACGTTATGCTAATTTGCCTACAGTTTTTATTTATTTATTTACATTTTTTAGCGTATTGACCTATCCGACAATGGTCACACGCAGGCGCCATGCAGAAGTGTGATATGTGAAATCAAAAGACTACGAAACAAGACAAAACTGCAAGACTTAACGGCTAACATAAATACAATTTACATAGATTATTTACTAATTCTCTCTCTTTTTTTCTTCTCTTTTCAGGTAATCGCTGGAATCCATGAGGGTCCAATTGGGATGGGGCATCGGGCTGCAGTTCTCATCTGCTGATCGTCGTCAAGTGTAGTGTTGGAGAGGGGGGAAGAACAGCCAGTCCAGCTGTCTGACCCCCTCCCGTCTGTGGCGCCGTCCAGTTGTTGCAGTGGGCATGGGTGAGTACAGCATATGCATTAGCTTGCATACGCATAACTATTCTCACAATTATACATATCAAGAATCAAGTATGTACATTTGTGTGAATTGCAGTGAAGAAGAAATAGAAATATTTCATTAGTGGTGCAATAATAAGTTTTTATATTGTTATTAATTAGATGATTTTTTTAATTTTTCTCATTGCAGGTAAGTTTATTAACATCTCTAGGGGCAGATAGGAACGCCATTGATCATCCTCGTCGAGTTTTTGGCCGTTTTGCAGGTAAGTGTATATTTTAAATTTTTGCTAGTTTTTATATTGTTATTAATTAGATGATTTTTTTTTAATTTTTCTCATTGCAGGTAAGCTTATTAACATCTCTAGGGGCAGATAGAAGCGTCGTCAATCATCCTCGTCGAATTTTTGGCCGTTTTGCAGGTAAGTGTATATTTTAAATTTTTGCTTGTGTTTTATATTGTTATTAATTAGATGATTTTTTTTTAATTTTTCTCATTGCAGGTAAGCTTATTAACATCTCTAGGGGCAGATAGAAGCGTCGTCAATCATCCTCGTCGAATTTTTGTCCGTTTTGCAGGTAAGTGTATATTTTAAATTTTTGCTAGTGTTTTATATTGTTATTAATTAGATGATTTTTTTTTAATTTTTCTCATTTCAGGTAAGCTTATTAGCATCTCTAGAGGCAGATAGAAGCATAGTAGATCATCCTCGTCGAATTTTTGGCCGTTTTGCAGGTAAGTGTATATTTTAAATTTTTGCTAGTTTTTATATTGTTATTAATTAGATGATTTTTTTTTAATTTTTCTCATTGCAGGTAAGCTTATTAACATCTCTAGGGGCAGATAGAAGCGTCGTCAATCATCCTCGTCGAATTTTTGTCCGTTTTGCAGGTAAGTGTATATTTTAAATTTTTGCTAGTGTTTTATGTTGTTATTAATTAGATGATTTTTTTTTAATTTTTCTCATTGCAGGTAAGCTTATTAACATCTCTAGGGGCAGATAGAAGCGTCGTCAATCATCCTCGTCGAATTTTTGGCCGTTTTGAAAGTAAGTGTATATTTTAAATTTTTGCTAGTTTTTATATTGTTATTAATTATATGATTTTTGTTTGTTTGCTGTTGTAGCTTTGGTTGCTGCTGTTGTTGTTGCCGCTGCTCAGTCTGTGGTCGATCTTGGCGCTGTTGTTGGTGTTGCTATTGTTGTTGTTGCTTTTGCTGCAGCTCGTTTGTCGGTAAGTACCTTACAGCTAGTAGCCTATTTCGAGCCTCTTTGTATTTAGGGCAGCCTTTATAGCAGCATACATGTGCACCTCCACAGTTGAAGCACTCTGCGGGTGCATCTCGTGCTTTGGTGCACTCAGTGGATGCATGAGAGCCGGCACATTTCATGCATCAGTATGGGCGTCGACAGTAGTTCTTAGTGTGCCCGAACGCCTGGCATCGATGGCACTGGGCCGGATCGATGGCCTTCGCCTGCCTCTACACTAGCACCTGTTGATTGCTGATCGTATCGAGTTCACATATCTTGAGATGGCTGCCATCGGGCATTGGCTGCAGCTCAACCTCAAAGACGTTTAGTGGCATGCCGGTGAACCGATGTCTCATGACACGTATGAAACGTACCGCGAAGCCCAGCTCCGACAGCTTGACTCTCAGCCAGTCACAGGGTGTCGAGTGGTGTAGTTTTTTGATTACCACTCGATATCCATTCTGATGGTGTGACTGGTGGGTGTACATCTGTACGTTCTCAGCAGTCAGGAAATCTACAATGGCTCTGTGTGTGGCCATATCATCGCTGTAGATAGTGACGCCAGCACTATTACTGCGTGTGGCGGTGCTAGTGGTGAAACCGCCAACTGCTGGATGGCTGTGTAGTTTGTTGATTAGTGGCAGTATGTCGTCAATTTGGGGCAAGAATATTGCCGGTATTCTTGCCTTAGTTGGCTGTTGTTGTTGTTGTTGTTGCTGCTGGTGTTGCTGTTGTTGTTGTTGTTGTTGTTGCTGCTTGTGTTGTTGTTGCTTGGGAGCAGAGGCAGTTGTGTGGGCATGCATTTGTTGCTGCATTTGATTGCCAGTTTTTTGAGGCAGCCTGAAAGGCTGCAATACTTTTGACACTCGACACCGAGCAACAAATCGACAAAACGACAATGCGACAACATGACAGAGCGACGAAATGACAGAGTGACAGAGCCACTGAACAACAGGACGACTGACTGACAGAGCGAAGAAATGACAGAGTGACAGAGCCACTGATCAACAATACAACTGACTGACATAGTGACGAAATGACAGAGTGACTGAGTCACTGAACAACAGTACAACTGACTGACAGAGCGACGAAATGACAGAGTGACAGAGCCACTGAACAACAGGATGACTGACTGACAGAGCGACGAAATGACAGAGTGACAGAGCCTCTGAACAACAGGATGACTAACTGACAGAGCGACGAAATGACCAAGTGACAGATTGACAGAGTCACTGAACAACAGGACGACTGACTGACAGAGCGACGAAATGACAGAGTGACAGAGCCACTGAACAACAATACAACTGACTGACATAGCGACGAAATGAAAGAGTGACAGAGCCACTGAACAACAGGACGACTGACTGACAGAGCGAAGAAATGACAGAGGGACAGAGCCACTGAACAACAATACAACTGACTGACATAGTGACGAAATGACAGAGTGACTGAGTCACTGAACAACAGTACAACTGACTGACAGAGCGACGAAATGACAGAGTGACAGAGCCACTGAACAACAGGATGACTGACTGACAGAGCGACGAAATGACAGAGTGACAGAGCCTCTGAACAACAGGATGACTAACTGACAGAGCGACGAAATGACCAAGTGACAGATTGACAGAGTCACTGAACAACAGGACGACTGACTGACAGAGCGACGAAATGACAGAGTGACAGAGCCACTGAACAACAATACAACTGACTGACATAGTGACGAAATGACTGAGTGACTGAGCCACTGAACAACAATACAACTGACTGACATAGTGACGAAATGAAAGAGTGACAGAGCCACTGAACAACAGGACGACTGACTGACAGAGCGAAGAAATGACAGAGGGACAGAGCCACTGAACAACAATACAACTGACTGACATAGTGACGAAATGACAGAGTGACTGAGTCACTGAACAACAGTACAACTGACTGACAGAGCGACGAAATGACCGACTGACAGAGCCACTGAACAACAGGATGACTGACTGACAGAGCGACGAAATGACAGAGTGACAGAGCCACTAAATATCAGGACGACTAACTGACAGAGCGACGAAATGACAGAGTGACTGAGCCACTGAATCATTTGTCAGAAGCTAGAAAGCAGCAGCAGAGAGTCTTCCCAGTGGTCAACTAAAGCTCAAATGCAACGGGCTCAAAATTTGAGTGCGATCTTGAATTTGAGTCTCAGTCGCCCTTTATAATGGGCAGCAGCTGCAGCATTTCTTCAGTCGTCCAGGCACGGTGGGGATCAGCAGATCATGCAGTCCAGTGTTCTCGTGTTCTCCTCCGGCACACATGAGCGCAATTATATATAGTTTAAGTATTAGCTATTGCACAGAGTGCTTTACGCGGCGCGCGCACACCGGCAGCGAGGCGGACAGAACGGCAAGTCTGCGCACTCGAACAGTCAGCAGTGGAGTATGCGCCAGCCAATTGCCTGCCGTGAAGCGGCAGTTACAAATTCTCTCTTTCAGAATTCTCTTATACTTAATTCAAGTCATTACTTTCACGAAGCGATATGTGAAATCAAAAGACTACGAAACAAGACAAAACTGCAAGACTTAACGGCTAACATAAATACAATTTACATAGATATTTACTAATTCTCTCTCTTTTTTTCTTCTTTTTTCAGGTAATCGCTGGAATCCATGAGGGTCCAATTGGGATGGGGCATCGGGCTGCAGTTCTCATCTGCTGATCGTCGTCAAGTGTAGTGTTGGAGAGGGGGGAAGAACAGCCAGTCCAGCTGTCTGACCCCCTCCCGTCTGTGGCGCCGTCCAGTTGTTGCAGTGGGCATGGGTGAGTACAGCATATGCATTAGCTTGCATACGCATAACTATTCTCACAATTATACATATTAAGAATCAAGTATGTACATTTGTGTGAATTGCAGTGAAG